TAAGAACAACTGAGTGGCCTCGTCGGAGGGCATCTAGCAAGTAAGGCGGTCCAACTGAGCAGGCGTTAGAACTAGAACTTTGAGCGGCTGTAGCTCGCTCCTCGCTCACTGTGGAGTCGAATAGAGTGGGACAGTCTCTAGCTTGGGGGCTGTACTAGCACAAGGAAGGACGACAGTCTCTAGCTTGGGGGCTGTACTAGCACAAGGAAGGACGACCATGTACTACTCGAGCGCGGGGGCTGTCTTTAAAAGGGTTTACGGGTCTCATCTAGGGGAGACTGTCATTTAACATGAAGCTTCCCCCTAGGCCGAATAACGCCCATTTCATCTTTGAAGGCAGTTGGCACAATAAATCCCTAAGACGAGCCTGGCAGGACGGCGCTGCCCGCCCTTGCGCAGACGCTGCGTAGCGCCTTTTCCAAGAATGGTACCTTTATAAGGCCCTATTAAGCCGCAATACATCGACCCGGACGCCCTAAGTAAAATATGAAGCGAAAGGATCGATTAGCATGGATATGTGAGTACATACACGCAGCAGTACCTACCGTAGCGGTTATTGGCAAGATGCCTACGGGAAACTCGTCCAAAATTGCTTTTTGAGTCATTAAGAACGAAGGCTTTTCTTCGCAGGTTTTTGACCGTTTCACTTCGTTTTTCGCCATTTTCCTCACTATATAGCTCCCTGCTAGCATTTTAGACCGAGTGCCAAATGGTCGTGCCATATGCCTTTGAAGTTTACAGCTGAAGAGTATGCTTGATACTGACATGTTACAGGTCGTTGGAGTACTCAAATGCCTATACGATTCCGATAAAATGTCGAAATTATCCCTCATCCCTAGGCGGCAAGCCCACAAAATCTGCGGAATCCTTTCAGAGCAAGTTCACTGCGCACAGACCATATTGCGTTAAAAAGCCAGAACTACAAAAAAAAACCGGAACTTAAAAGAAAAAAGCAAAGAAAAAACGAAAACCGGCCAAGATGCGCTATGGTGACGATCATGGAGTTTCACTGGTATGAAGCCAGCCGGTTTGGAAACTTGCCCCCCAACAATAGCTGGTTCATTCGCATAATGCTCATAACCAGGGGTCGCCTTATTCAGAAGTTTTTGAACCTTGCCTTTTGTTTCGCTGGTTAATCAGTAGGTATTTGCAGTGTCAGCGATGAACCTCACTCACATGACTCTCCAGAATTACCTTTATAAGTCCATAAATGGACCATGAGACTGAGGGTGATGTAGTAGCAAGCGGCACGCTTACCAAGCGCGCGGTCCGGGGGCCAAATCCCGGATCAGCTCCTACTCCGGTCAACCAACTCTTCAGCAATTTGGCACCGGACTCGTCTGGGTGGATGAAAACGCTGACCTGTACATCGGCTGGCCTTCCGCAAGTCATTGTATAGGCCACATCGCATTCAATAAGCCACTACGATTCTGAATGGAAGTAGAATGCGTGCCGCACTTCAAGAAGGGAATCGATGGCGCATTTTGTCCTTCTATCCTTTGGTTGGACCTAAACGGTTCAAATCTGTTTCTCGATACTCAGTTTTCTCTCGTCAGTTTTCAAGTGGTGAGGCTTGTGAGGTACCGCACAGCTATTTTTGATTTCAGGAGAGGAGCAGTTTCGATTTTTTAGATATAGATTCTCATACGCCAAAATGCATTCAAAAAGGCCTTGGGTGCAGTACAGTACTGAAGCCTTACTGTAATCGGTGCCTCTGCGACATGGTGATGACTCAAAGTAACTTGAAGGGTCTTGCAGAGGCTAAGACAGTTAACTGGGTGTTCGCTTCGGAAACCTCTCT